CCATCATACTGACTTATTGTAACCTGTCCTTTCTTGGGATCACTGGCTTCAGCAACCTATTTTCAGTCAGTAAAGTCCCTAGAGGAGCCATCATCGCAACCAATGTGTGGTCCTAAAAAGTCACTCAACTATGCCCTTGCAGGGCCAAAACTACAAACGCTCACACGTGCTAGCGTACGTCGATCATTACTCAACATGCGGAAAAAGCTGCCTTTGTTTTAACAGGCTTGAATTTTGCATAACAGTTTAGTGGCTGGGATTGCCTGGCCCGTGTGCCGGTTACAGGGAAGCCGCCTGTCTCAACTGTCATTCACGGAGTCATTAGGCTAATGGATCCTGCAAAAACAAAATCCAAGAAAAGAATCGCAAGAACACAAAGTGTAAATGCTATAGGCACACGACACTGCATTTGAAGAACGACTACTTTGGAGCGGCTGGGCGTATAGTTTCATCGCGTGTACGGTACGGGGCTAATCTTACTTCAATGATTAAAGATGGGTGAGCTGCAAACCGTTTCTCCTTTACCACTGTAGCCCAGAGCACATCTTATCTAAACTCACCGCATACAAAGAGTTTGCTCGTTTCAAAAAGCATTTGAATAAATGCAAATCTGTTCTCCTTCCTGATCAATCATAGCTATGAGCATTGCACTCATTGTTTTGGGTCGAATTCTTTGGCATTGCTAACGAAAGTTGAATATGGTTTAACTTTTACATTATACAGTAGAAGCACGTAAGGCCTATGTTCTCCCGAATACGGAGGATTAGTGTGACACTCAAAATCGTACTGTGGTCAGTTTGCGTGCCAGCAAACCTGACTGCTCTCCAAAAACGCGAAAACCGACAGACAATTGAAATTAACAAGTCGATTACAGCTGTATTGATAATACGACTTACAGATTTTTAAGCAGTCATCAATGGCAAATCGGGGTCTTGTTCATGAAAGAGAAGTTGAAGGCACCAAAGGAAAGGTCAAGCATTCTGGTAACCCTGGTCCGTCATCATTAATAATGCTATCTTTTTATGGACGATTCGAAATCAAAGGTTCATATTCTAAACAAACTAAACAAAATTTTGTCCGATAATGGCAATAATTTATGAGTTTAAACTTACAACCGTTGAAAGAAGTTTTAATCACACAATTACAAAATTGATGATACGTAAAAAGATCAATTTTGCTATACATATTAAATGAGCAGTTCAGATCACCTTCCAGATTTAACACCTAGTTTTTGAATTGAATGCATGGAAAATGCGCCGTTTATTTTCTTGTTACATGTAAACTCATGGGGACAAAATTACAGTACAATGAAAAATGCCAATTTTTTAAACGCATGTACAAGGAGATAAATTCACATGTAAAACACCGTTGGCACATTATTATTGTTGTATGTCCAGAAGTAAATCTTGTCAATAATCTTTTGTGCTGCCGGCGAAATATTGATTGCAAAATACAAAGACGAGTGATCTTTACATGCAGGAAACATATGGCGGCTTATATGACAATCTGCACGTTGTGGAGAAGTCATGGTCACTTCATAACAAAAATAACATATGTATTTCCCGTGGTAACCCTGTGAAAGATCTACTTCGCCCTAATTAACAAAAGTTTTCTAAAACACTCCTTGCACAGAACCAAAGAGTTTGAAAATATTCCAAATCAATCAGTAATATATAGTAAATGAAGTAATTTGTACTGAACATAGATTCTTAATCCCTTTATTGGGTCTATAGATTGCATGTCCACACAATATGGTCCTTTGCGTGTATATGGGGTAATGGTTCAATATTGTGTTTAGCACAACACGATATTTCAGCCGATTATGCAGCTCATAATGCGATTTGTACAAAGAAAAGCACCATTGACTGGCGTTCTTTTGTATGAAAGCAGGTCGCGATCGAAAGGGGATCAGGTCGGATCTCCTGAACCGAAAAAGTCGACCGAAGCGACACCCTGTTCACACTGATGGTGGGAAGAAATGTACGTAGAGAGTCATTTGGACAATGTTTGTCGGTATCTTTGACTGTGGACCGCAACTCATGCAGGGAGCGGGTGGCATGTGTAGTGCGGTATGGTCTACTACGGCATTGCATGCGCTACATGGGGTATCGCCTGCTTATGCCTGACTTCCCTTAATCCGGCTATTCTGGCTACGATATTAGAAGAACACGTCAAGCATCTGTTTGCCACTAGACACTGAGTTACAATAAAGTCACCAAAAGCCAAAAAGAAGCCTTAAAAATTCCCGTCTTTTTGCGGTGATTGTCATTTTGAGACGAGGTAGTCCTAGATACACTGATCATTTTGAAAAACAATGCCGTACTTGTCAAAAGGTAGAGTAAAGAACCAAAAGGCTAGTGCCTAAAATTTGGACCTGAATGAATGGGCAGTAGAAGAATCTTATGAAAGACATCTAACACAATTCTGATATTGGATTTATGTCATAAAGTGATACACGTAATCGAAAAATACATAATACAGGCTATTCTAACATGGATATAAGGAAAGCTCAAATGACGGTGCAGAGTTTAAACAATGAGATTCACTAACAGTTATGCGAGAATATGCTCATTACATTTGTCTATAGCCAACTACTTAATCAGCGGACATCAACAACACTTTCAACACAAAAGAAATTTGATGTCACATTGTACTGGGAAAATATAACCGCTTCGTTCATTTTCCTGTTCAACTCTTAATAATAAAGATCAAACTGTTAATAACAAACTCAAATTGTCTCGATATTTCAGTGATCATGACAACTCCGACTCTTGTTCTGTTTTCCTTTTATTAATAACTTTGTTACCTGCATCAAGCAAAAACACCAGACCAATTTCATTTGGTATTTTCCTTCATTTAAAATGATAATAGTTGCAGTTTTCAGTCTAATTGTAAAGGATGAGACTACTGTTTATCTTACTTGAAGCTGAGCTTTAAAATTGGTGAGCTGTATGATTTGCAATGGAGACGAGTCTTTGCATGTACAGTGGAACAAGCCAGAAGATCACTGGATTATTACCTCTTATCAACATACGTTCTAGAGAGCCGAATTCTTTTCACATCAGATTATATCATTAAAAAGACAGCGAGTTATTTGTTAATTATATGTTAAGCTGGGCATCTACAAACTTAGCAACGGAACGTTCTCGAAAATTCAACATTTGTCAAGACAAAGGTGCTAGATGTCATGTCACACCGTTATGATAGCGACAGACTACCAAGTATAATCTGCCATCAGCCTAAGTGCCCACTGTAGCCACGTGTTCGTCCGTGAAGCAACAGAAGTGGGCCGTCTAGTCTTGATCGTTCCCTGGTGAAATGGGAATTACTGGACAACGGCAAAAGTGTGAAAAAATCTCCCTATGTATCATCGTAAAATTTTAATGCGTTCAAAGACCGTGGTGTTTGACCAACAAGATTTTTGTCACTCTCTCTCTCTCCCTTTTCTAAAGAAGATTACTGAAGACTCTCATTTGTTTTTGCTCAAAGAAGCAAACTACACCAGCGAGCATCTATGTTTGTTAACAGGAGCCTATTCATTCTCCTTCAGAATTCTTCCAGAAATTAAGGTATCGCATCGTTATCCATCGTTATATTAACATGTGAGATGAAAACTACTCAGGATTTCGACCCCTCATGATATGATCTTACAGCAACATCGAAAATGAAAAGGCTGTAGTGGAGCCATTTCTGCGATATTATGTGTGTGATTATTCTTCATTTGCTCATTTTTTTGCTGTGAATATTAAAGTCAAAATTGCAAAAATTACAAGCATATCAATATTTAGTGTCCTTTGTTACCGGCAAATAATTCCGGGTAAGACCGATGTTCTCGGCTAAACTGCCTGTACATTGATGTAGCAATGCATTGGCACTTCCGTTACCATATACAAGACACAAATTCTAGTCATTGATGAAAAATGCGTAAATACTAGCATAACTTTAAATTAACCGGTCATTTTTGTAAAGCTAGACTATTGAAATTTAATTTATCCTTCCTTTTTAAGAAAAAAAAGATGGCAGCATTTGATGTCTCTTCATTTGCAGGGATCGATGACCTCCCGTTCAAAAGAAGTACAATTCTATATCATGAGAGAACGGGTTCAGAAAGCAAACTGAATAATATCAAATAGAACACGACTCTATAACTACCGAAATGATCAAGTGTAATGTAAACTAACTGGAACCATTTAAGTTTACTTGCTGAAATTCTTACCCAATAAAGTCGTTTGTAGATTGTGTCTGCTAAGAGAATGGCATGGACCGTTCTTGAATAAGTTCAGGGATGAAATGCATGCTAGCAAGTTACAAACCGGACATGCTCCATGATGCCGTGCGAATCATGACGATGTGTGCGAACCAAGTGACTAAATTTGGCCAACTGAATCCAATATTAAGGTTACCATATTGAATGTCTGATGCGTTTTAGCGTATTATCCAATGCCTGTGCCCGTTTGCTAGATCAGCACCATCGCCTTAATTGGCAAAGGGGATCGCAATTTACTAAAGTGGCCTGCCATGCTAATGTCGTGCTTGGTGCGCCAAAAACTAATTTGGTCCAAACAAATAACCAATAGATAAATGATGGAAGGACATTATGAAAAATTCAAAAGGTTGATGAAGCACGGCTGAGACGTGTGATGGTGCCCACCTTGTTTGAGAAGACTGTACAGCATCTCCTGTGTGCTAAGCTTAGCCATTGCTCGATCACAACAAACTAGTTTTCCTTTTGGCAGATTTGAAGATGCTTGAGAATCCACAGAGAAGCAGGTGAATATTGTGGGAGAGTTTCTGGTTCGTCTTCCTCCACAGAGATGAGAGAAAACGCCGTGCCCACACTGAAAACGGTGATTTATCGGCAACCAGAACGATTGAGATAGCACGCGCATCTCTGGTCATTACTATGCATAAGCTGGGTTTCAATATGAACCGGAATCAAGCTATTGGTTCATCTTAGGCAGACTGCGTGTTGCGTCAAACCGTGCTCTGGGGTGACTTGTCCCGACCATTCAGCTCAGCATCTCGGCCAGTAGTGCGGAATAAAACTCTGATTTTGTCTCCTTGCTTGTTATGGCGCTCAACACTTAGGTGATGCGAAAATTCTAGGGTTTCTAAGTAATGCAATAAACAGGCCTTTTCGGACTCGAAAATTTTGGGTAATGCACCTGATTCAATTAAAGAAGCGAGAGTCGGAAACGGCGGGGATGCCCGATCGATCTTAGACCCTTGTGCTCTCTTTGCATTTTTCTCACGGAACATCGAAAGTCAACCATGCGATATTTGACGCTAAAACGCCAAGGAAATTACTGTAAAAAACGTCATTTCGTGTGTAGGGGCCTTCAATCTATTGTACACTATCGCCTATTACGTAATTATGCTTTTTAACTTATCAATGATTTTTATGTAAGCAAGTGATTCCTGGGAGTTGGTTATGTCAACTCGTATAATTCTGTCATTTTGAACCTTGTCAGTAGCAAGAAATCTGGTCACAGATGAACCAAGGTAAACCGTAGTCTCCCTACCCAAGTTCCTCACAACGGCTTTCCTTGTCCTTACAGCACGGCGCCAAGGGAAATCAACCAAAGTACCCAGGCCTTGCCTGCTCATTCAGCTGGTAAGTCATACAAACGGCAACAAAAACTTCATTATCTTGTAAAAGAATGCACATACATCAGCCTTTTACCTGTTATATTGTATGTGCTCCTGACGCTTGTATATAAAGAGTAAAATGGCAATTCTTTAGAAAGGCTTTTAAGTTCACTCTCATCGGATAAACTCATTGTAAAGTTATTATTTCTTGATTCTGTGTTTCATTTGTTGTCATGACGTTTTAGACTTTTAATTGAGACATTTTGCTCTAAACAGGTCTGTCGTTGCCACTGCTCACATGAAAACGGAAACCAAACCTCTTTCTGTATGTTAAAAACAGTGGCTACAATAGCAACTCCATGGAACTAAACCTATTATTTCACATCAGTGTATTGAAGTATAAGTAAATACCCCAAATATTGCACAAATAATATTATACACTAATCCGAATTCTTGAATATTTGTATATGGTATTTTAGGGAAGGAAAAAAGACAAAGTGAGAACAAAATGAAAGATTCTACCTGTGTATCCTTATTGATGTGATTATTTCATTATTCCCTTGGTACAATTAGCTGTGGGTGATAATTTATTTAGATGTATAAATATAGCAGCAAGGATGACAAGTCGCAAGTGTATGTAGAACTGCTTTACCCTGAATGCTTCATAATAATAATGACTATTGTGGTCGACAGCCAGTAATGATAGTCAAGTGTCCCCACAGCGTCAGGTGGGTTGCGAGGTGCACGCACTGCGCAAGCGTGTATGCAACAGCTTTGTAATGGCACTGAAACGATTTTCCTCGGGCCATACACAACGTGTGTTGGCGACAAAAATGAGTGGCCCATGGTTGATTTTACTCTTACCAACAACGAGGCGGTGTTAACATTTCCGGGTGTCGAGTGCTACTGCAAATAGAATCGATTGCTTGTACGAGTTTACAGAAGATCCACGACTTAATGATTCCGTCAATATAGTCGAAGTACTACATTTATATACATACTTCCATTGCGTAGTTTATCAGTAGTGTTGGCCATAGGCGAATCTTACGACCGGGCTTCCATTGCTCGCCCACACCCCCTCCTCCCCCTCTTTCTCTGTCTCTCTGGGTTTTTTTTTTTCAGATTAAAACTAACTGACCATTCCGGGGTCCATTCTTTGAATTATGCACAGTAATAGCAAGGCTACTTCTCGATCGACAACAAAGGCTCAGTTCGAGACATGCCAGCTACAATCTCTATGGTACGAGCGTATTGTAGGAGAGTATGCAATCCGACGCTGAGTACGGTTGCACGGTTGCACGGTTGGTCAGATGGGAGGTCTGCTTGCTGTTGCAAAGCGGGAGCGCCGCGCACTGACTCAGACGCATTAAGTTGATTAGTTTTCCCCAAATCGGTCGTGCTCGTAGCCTGCTCTATGATTACTCTACCCCGAAAATGTCATTATTGTGATTAGAAATGAAACCGGCTCCTCTTAATTTAAGCGAGAGTATAATACCGTATTAGGGTTTCCAACAAGGGAGCTCAGGTGGGGCTGGATTGGGTCTAATCTCTTAGCAAGACAGTCAAAAGGACCACACGGCACTCCCTTTTAATCAAGCTGGGATAGTGATTCTTGACTGGATGCCTACACCGATCTGTCGCTTCATATGCATCGATCTTTGGCCAAAGCCTTACGGCACGTTTACGGACAAGATAAGCGACAGCTCACTCAAAAACAAAAGACACTAAATTTGTAATGAAAACGCTTCGAAACGTAGTTCAATTATAAACCAATTTGCATAGTGTAATGAGATTCAGTAGGGAGAAAGTCATTTCCGAACATGTATATACTTGTACTACCGAAGTGACTACATAAAGAACTAAAGGAACGTTAATTAATTATGATTAATTTCAAACATCAGTGGTTTCAAATCATCATTTTGGGGGGTTTTATTTAATCAAGAAAGAAAATTAAGTTTGAGTGTATGCGTGAAAGTCTAAAAGTAAAAGGTTTTCTTCCAAATCAGGTGTGCAAAATGTAAACCCTATACTTATTGAACCGTAATATGCAGAGACTCTGCTTGGATATTTTTCCTATTGATTTCGAAGGAAAGCACAACTGTTTAATATTTCGTTGAATGGCATCTTGAAAAGTATATCCTTTGTGTAAAACATTGCCTGTGCTTAATATCGCAGTGGTTTTATATTCATTCACGTTCAGCTAACATAAAAGTAAAATACAAATTTTAAATGACAAACCACACAAATTTTATTTTAAGAGCTGTGACTGCATCTATATTTTTGCATTTAAATGTAAGTGATTTCCACCATCGCAATGAATGTCGCTGCTTTCAGTGAATTGAATTATAGAAGGAGTAAGAAACGTTCATTGCATACAACAGTTTCATCAGAAATACTGGTCTTTTGCTTTGTGTGTGTAGCTGTCGATGGCCAATCATGAACAAAGCAAGCATTACGTGTGCTAATTGTTGTCAAGAATGATTATGATGTTTATTGAGCAAACTAAGCATCGCTCACATTATAATTGCAATAATTGAGAGCACTGTACAAATACTCTACGGTATTAATGAGATGGAGTCTCCTATACAGCGAAACTATGACACGATGATCAATCAAGTCTGGTGCCGTTCCAGGCTACTGCGTTATTTCCACGCCCCTCACCTGTCCTTTGATGGCACTATTACGATCTGTCCATATTGTCATCCTCAAGCTACACAAGTACTCAGATATTATAATTCCATCTATATATTTCAAGCTCCAAGTCATATTTCACCAAAGCTCTTTCTTGCTCCAATTCGCCTTATTAAAACTTACAAATGTTCTCTGTCTATAACTTGTGCGAGTCTACTTGTGTTGGTTTTCTTAACATCAGGAAATTCGCCCATGAGACAAAAAAACAAAACTCACATTCAGTGAGAAGATGCGAATCACTAATGGAATGGTTAAGAAAAGGGATTTATGACAATTCGAAAAAGAGTAATTGGGATTCTTTTAATGAAAATACAAACGTTTATATATAACGAAGGCGTGAGCTTGACACCAAAGTCTAGATTTTGATGCAGCAAAGCAAAAACAAACAAGATTTTTTACTTTCAAAGTGTCGTAGATTTCAAGTCACCTGCTTTTTTCTCGCTTACTAAGAGTACAAGCTATTTTCTATTTTTAAGAGTGAATGGCCAAAGACAAGCGGCAAAACTTTATCCGTCACTTTTGCACTTCAGCTGAAACTTTTTACTGATTGATTTTTTTTACTACATAGTGAGCATAACAATATTCCATGTACAAGAACTGGGCTTGCTTGCATAAAAACACGCATTTTACAAACTGAACTTAACACATGTACAATCCAATTAAAATGACAAGAAAACAATTAGAAATCTTAACAAACAATTAAAGCTTTCCACTAAGATATGTTGTGTAATATTAAAATGAATGATGTGGTCGTTTTGTTCGCCGCCTTGTGATTGGTATTTACATCTCGTCGAAAAAAGCTTACAAGTAGGGTGAGAGGCATCTGCGTGCAGTCACTGCACAAGCCCAATGCAGAGTTCGATGTCTGTAGATCTCAACTCGGTTCATCTCAACACATGCAATCCTAATCAACTACACGATCTGGTTTATTCTGCAGATCCACCGTTGGAGATTCTATACCAGGTGGTGATAGAAACTGTAAGAACACTCTTTATAAAAGAACATCATCACTTACATCACAGCTTCTCATGCGGCGAATAAAATACAATAATTACTTAGTCTTCTTGACACAGAAGTTAACATGTTCAACCCACGCTAAAGATCTCGAAATAAAATACCCGAAAATTTGAACACAGAAAGCCTCTCCTTCTCTTGTCCATACCTCTCCAACGTGTTGGGGGGGTATTGAACCATTCCCCCTCCCCACCTTTTAAAGCGGATTAAGGACTTTTTGACAATTAATAAAAATGTATTCAATATCACTCAAAAAGGAAAAATATTACATATGTACATCTGTACCATGGACATTGCCCCCTATATAGTGTCATATGGTGCCGCCCCCCCCCGATGTTCCAATTTCCATGGCCAGGCAAGTCATCCCCACCGTTCCCCATCCCCCACCTTCCGGCACAAATTGACACAGCTGGTTATTTAACAATAATTTGCGGCGCTTTTCATCTTATTTTCAATATTTCTCATAACAAGGAATGGACCAACAAATTTAAATATCGTTTCCAAGTTATTTTTAATTTGCTGTCGAATCCAAAAACCGCTTGAAAATGTTGATTTGTTCGCTAATCACAATAAGCTCAGGTTTTCCTCGTAATATTGATATAATATTAGTCATGCTCGTTCTATTTAGATCAAATGTCTTTGTCAATTTCATTGATCAGTGTAAACTGATAATATGGAAGATTAAATGATTCAAAATGAGGCATCTAAATTGCATTTTTCTGCAGAATTTGAATTTTCACACTTCATTTTGTCCCCCAAAGTTCTGAGCAATTATAGACGTATGCCTTTTAATTTTGACATTGACCGGGATTTCTGTAAAAGCATAGGCTCGTCATCGGGGTTACATAATATTATGTAATATGACTCAACAATAGAGACTCAATACTAAATCAAACGTATCCCCTAACCCATGCACCTTTTGGCAACTAAGGGTAGTTTTGCGACAAACGAGACTGCCCCAGAGTAACTGCAGTTACGTACAGTAGATAAATCAACTTCATAACACAAGGTACTTTTGTTATACCGAGATACCAATAAATTATCCGTCCGACTCTTCGGTGCTCAGTGCTTAATTTAAGCGCGTATGTTCTTGATAAACATCAATGGCTTCATTACTGAATCGTAAGACAGGTTTCTTATTCAGTGCAACATATGTTGGCACCTCTGTCCGCTCTTAAAGATTTTAATGTTAATTCACCTAAAAAGCGGTCCTCACACTTCTATCATAATAGGAACATAAAGTTATATTATAAGTTAAAAGACTGGAATTCTCGAGTACTTGAGAAGTTCTTCGCGTTTTCATCACTAAGCGAATGTTGA